ACTGTTGTTATGTAGCATCACGACTCAGTATTTCCTTGTTAGAGCTTGATCTATTAACCATTGTTAATATGTAGCATCACGACTTAGTATTTTATTGATTGTTAGGGCTTGATCTATTATCCACTGTTGTTATGTGGCATCGCCACTCAGTATTTTATTGATTGTTAGGGCTTGATCTATTATCCACTGTTGTTATGTGGCATCGCCACTCAGTATTTTATTGATTGTCAGAGCTTGATCTATTATCCACTGTTGTTATGTAGCATCACGACTTAGTATTTTATTGATTGTTAGAGCTTTCTCTATTCTCCACTGTTGTTATGTAGCATCACGACTCAGTATTTTATTGATTGTTAGACCTTGCTCTATTATCCACTGTTGTTATGTGGCATCACGACTCAGTATTTTATTGATTGTTAGAGCTTGCTCTATTATCCACCGTTGTTATGTAGCATCACGACTCAGTATTTTATTGATTGTTAGACCTTGCTCTATTACCCATTATTGTTATGTAATATTACGACTGTAATTGACGTGAATGTAATCTAATATCTATTTATTTTGCAGTTATTTCCCATGTGCTTTTCATTCTATCAAATTTAAGCTTATGGGGCAATGGGTGGGAAATAAAATATTAAGAACAATATGAAGTTCGTACGAATACAAGATAAAAAGATTCGTCTGATGGATAACACGTTTAAATAAAAACATTTGAAATCTTAAGCCTTCTCCAAGCCTCGCTCTTATTTGCTCATAGTTACGTCTTTAGGAAGTCGGAATATTTAGTATAAGCCGAAAATAAATACGTGACCAGTATAAAGAAAATTCTTTCTGACTTGATGGATCAAATACTTGAGAGAGAGACCGGTAATCCTTGGACCAGCGTCGTCACCAAAGCTTATTGGATCGAATGTTATTTGCAGCCATTCGATTAGATCCAGGCTCAGCTTGAGTTAGAATTTATCCATGAAATTTGAAATTTTTTATAAAATAAAAACTATTGAGTTTCAGTTTTCTGCTGACGTTGTCGAGCGCTTATTGTAGAATTAGCTGTAACCATGATAACATGATTTGTTAAATTAAATTATCCTAATGAAATTTCGTTAATATTTTAATCTCCCACTTTTACTGATGTTTTTTTTTCTTCTGTAGCTGGTTTTATTTTCATCTATATTTTCAGTTTTACTAAGATCTATTTCACTAGAGCTAAATTGTTCAGTAAATTTGTACAAAAGGAAGGCTTAAAAAACGCTTACTTTCGAATAACTTTTTTCTCTCTTCATTCTTTGTTCCAAGCCGGTAGACAATCCATGCAAGACGTCTTCGAACTCTGGAGCAGTTTCGTCCACAAGCTGAAATCCAGAAATGTTTGTTCCGACATACTGGAATTCCTCCAAATCCACGGTGTGCAAATCCTAAATGAAAATGATCAACTCGTATTCCTAAATAGTAGTTTTTTAAACAGGAACGTAACTCCAGAAAACAGCATCATTTGTAAAATAGTTAAATTTTTAATCTTTAATATGGTGAAAACTAAACTTTGAAGTTTTATTGAAATATCACAGCATCTTATGATGTTGTATCTGTAAATTAATATAATTTTTCAATAACTTCCAGGACTTACGACTGTTCATTTTTAACTAAATAGCTTGATTTAAATTAATTGAATTAAAAATCTATAAAGATCAGAATAATAAATTCATACCGTCAAACATATGATACAAAATTATAGCAAAATAACCAATGGAGCAATTACAAATATACAATGTAACGATTAGAGACCAATGGACACGGATTACAAAATAATTGTTCCTATTTTAAGTATTTTATAATGGAAAACAAGATAATAGTAAAGCGAATTCATTGTCTTATTAAACAGTTAATTGTTTACTAATATATCTTTTGGTATTTAATTAATAAAGGTAGTTTAAATCAGAATTATTTATTATCGAAAAGTATGTGCCACTAATTGTTCGTCCACAGTTTCTTGAAATCTTGTTCTACACAGCTGGTTTATTTTTTATCTATATTTTCCTTTTCATTAAGACTTATTTCACTGGGATAACTTTGCGATAACTTTGTTACAAGATTAAAGTTTAAAAAAGCACTTTCTGATGAAGGCCACATTAAATGTGGTTGAAACGTAGAGAAAATATCTTTATTTTCATAATAATAGACAGTTCTTCTAGTGTTTACTTCTGACATATATGGAACAGATAATTGTTTTACAACTTATGCATCAGTAACAGAATTTTTCTACACTTACCAGAGACGTGATAAAATAATTGTGATATTCTGACATCATGTCCACTTCTTTAGCCTAATACAGAGAGAAAACGTTGGAATTTAAAAATCCAAACTTTAGAAGAAAATCAGAGCACAATCTATAACTTTAACTTATAGCACCTAGTGCAAACAGAAACTGAAATGTAAACAAAATATTAAACATAAAGATAATGTTAAAAATATAGTACAAACTAATGTTAAAGATATAATACAAACCAGTAACGTAAAGATATAGTACAAACCAGTAACATAAAGATATAGTACAAACCAGTAACGTAAAGATATAGTACAAACCAGTAACATAAAGATATAGTACAAACCAGTAACGTAAAGATATAGTACAAACCAGTAACATAAAGATATAGTACAAACCAGTAATGTAAAGATATAGTACAAACCAGTATTATCAAGATATAGTACAAACTAATGTAAAAGATATAATACAAACCAGTAATATCAAGATATAGTACAAACCAGTATTATCAAGATATAGTACAAACCAGTAACATAAAGATATAGTACAAACCAGTAACATAAAGATATAGTACAAACCAGTAACATAAAGATATAGTACAAAGCAGTAACATAAAGATATAGTACAAATTTGTATTATATCTTATACATTAGTTTGTACTATATCTTATACATTAGTTTGTACTATATTTTTAACATTATCTTTATGTTACTGCTTTATACTATATCTTTATGTTACTGGTTTGTACTATATCTTGATATTACTGGTTTGTACTATATCTTGATATTACTGGATTGAATGAATATTTGCTGTAAAATTCTTATCAATGCTATAAGTGTAGCTGTCAGTTTGGCCGACAATTTTAATTTCATTCCTTTAAGCCGCACGCTTAATCCATTTTGGTCGCACCTTTTTTTCACACCTAAGGTGTTTCTGATTAGATTTTATATTACTGTTGTAGTTTGTACTACATCTTTATATTACTGGTTTCTACTATATCTTGATGTTACTGGTTTGTACTATATCTTGATAATACTGGTTTGTACTATATCTTTATAATACTGGTTTGTACTATATCTTTATATTACTGTTGTAGTTTGTACTACATCTTTATATTACTGTTGTAGTTTGTACTACATCTTTATATTACTGTTGTAGTTTGTACTACATCTTTATATTACTGGTTTGTACTATATCTTTACATTACTGGTTTGTACTATATCTTGATAATAGTTATCCAGGCCACGTTTTTTGTTTTACCCACCATCATGCCCCAAGTTGAACAGAAGAAAAAAAAATGGAAGAATTCGATCGAATTGGAGATTTTATATCTCGTATATTTCTTAATGGATTGCCTTGAAACTTGGTATTTTAAATAAGGGCCCAGTAGAGCACATTCGCTGAAAATATAAGGTAGTTTGGATTACCACATTCCGAGCTAAATAAAGTGAAAAATCTCTCCTGTTAATAACACACAGTGTGTCCTGCAGGTTGTTTTGACCGCACGACACACTACCGTGTGTCTTGATTTGTAAATAGGTACGCTGTACTTTATAACATCATTGTATTTAGTTCTGTATGGATTGGTATATGATCACTACAGATTCTAAACGTTCTTTATTCTTGGCAGTGGCACCAGTAAGACTACAAAAGTCTACGAAAAATTGTGAACATTTTCTGAACGAATCAAATATGGTAATCACCAACTGACCTAATTCTTAGACGTCCACCACATGATCGCATAATGTCTGAGCCACAAAAATTAAGCAACTTCATGACATCAAATTTTAAAACATTAAGTACGATGTAACCTCACAAATATTCTCCAAAATAAAATTATAACTGAAATGCCGAGACTTAAAATTTTCTT